AAACATTGCAACAACAGCCTCAGCTGGCCCACGCAGCTGAGCCATGCAGCCCATGCCCATGTTTGTGATGCTGCAAGGGGATAGTGAACTTTGTGCTGCCCTTCTAACCTCTGTGGCCAAGGACCTCCAGGACAGAGGTTCTGTTTTGCTCTGATCAGCATTTCTGGGCTGAAGGCATCTGCAGAGCCCTTTCAGAGTACTTTCAGAGAAAGTACTTGCAGTGTGGAGCACGGAATGGGTAGCTGAGAAGTTGATGCTGTCCCCCACCAAGCACCTTTGCTCTGGGAACATCTGAAAGCACATGGATCAGATCTGCTCTTGGAAACAAAAGTGTTCTCACTACATAGGCTGCATTATTTATTGTGGCTTTCCCTGTTGCAGCTTCAGTGGAGGGTGCTCCTGAAGTGACCATGAGGGGACTGTTCAAACACATTCTGAAGACAGAGGGAGCGTTTGGGCTTTACCGGGGTCTGGCGCCCAACTTCATGAAGGTGATCCCAGCTGTGAGCATCAGCTATGTGGTCTATGAAAACTTGAAGATGACTCTGGGCGTGGACTCGCGGTGACCAGGAGCTGCTGAGGACTCGGAACTCTGAAATCTTGGGATGCGATCCCAAGACATATAAGCCATCTCTCATTCTGTGAATGTGTCGACACTAAGCTGACTAAGCAAAGCTGTGAAATCTCAGATTGTGAGTCAGTAAGGGAGGGGGAGGGGAGGATCTGGTGTCCTTTGCCATCTTGCTACTCAGAACTCCACATAAACCATCACGGGGTCCTTTTCCTTGGGCCTTTTAGAAGGCCAGGAGATGAACTCCTGGGAGATTTTAAGGCTGGAGTTGCTGAGGTCAGTTCCCAGCAGTATGACAGAGTAGCAAAGATTTGGGCTACAAGTCTGCTCTCAGCGTGTTGCCTGTACAGAGCTGTTTGCCTACAGATGAGCACCTTCTGACTTGCTGAAAGAGCTTCTTTTTCCATTCAGAGAGCTGCTTTTTCCATTCAGTTGTTTAACTTCCTACCCATTGTTTAAATTTGTACAAACCTTGTGTAGGAGCTGCTGCCACACCAGGCTTGTTATGTTTACAAATATTCCTTTGGGTGGGAAACATTCATGTTCTGCTTCCAAGAATTGACATGAAATGCAATTTTGATCTGTACTGGTTTGGAGGGCTGGTGGGCAGTGGTTTATCCAGCCAGGCTGAAGGTTGCTTAAGCCAGCCTGATGAAGAATTAGGATTATTTATTTTTATAGATTTAAGTGTGTCTCAAACCCACTAACAAGATGCACTTACTAACAGAAGCAGCAGACTAGAGCCTGCATGCCTGTATCCTTTGCATGCCGGGATTGGCTTGTCTTATTCTCTGCAGGGGCTTGGAAAGGGGAAGGCAGGAGAGCCCTGGGCTGCCCGGCACTGTGATGCATGGCTTTAGTGAGCAAAGACAAAATAACTCACAGCTCCTGTGCAGCTGTGCTCCCAGCACGACATGAGAGCCCCTGTGCATGGACCTCTGAATTCCATCCTGCCTGGTGCCAAGGAGAGCTCGTGAGCCTTTTCCAAACCCCGTGCCTATGCTGCTATCTTATCTCTTTAGACCTCTTGGTAGATGGATGTTCGGGTTTCCATTGGTGCGACAGAGGCCCCAAGTCAGGAATGTCTGCTGTGGGAAGGGGTGGTAGGGAGAGGGGCTGGCTGTCACTGGGAGAGGTGAGCTTTCAGTCCTGAAGACATGCTTGCTTGTCTTTCAAAGGGTGCTTTTCATAAGGCTAAGGGAAAGAGATGGCTTTAAAATTTCTCTGATAGCGTTATGGGCTGCTTTAATTAATAGGATCCAGCTTCTGAGGCCTGGGAGATCCTCACCCAACTTTTCATTTTGGGTAAAATGGACCAGTGTTGCATTCCACTGTTTTACTGCTTAAAGCATATTTATTTTGTATTTATTTGAACAGAGTTATGTCACACTATTTTTATAGGTTTGTTTAAATATTGTTACTGTGCTCGTATTTCTCCTGTTTTAAAAAGTTCTCTATTAGTTCTTTCACATCACACAGCTGAGTCGTGGGGAGGGATGCTGAAGTCACTTGTATACCTGCCCTCTGGGGCTTGAACTGCCTTTCCCATGTCTGGGTTTGTTGCTGGAGGACCTCAGCCCAGAGAAATTCTGTAGCAAGAAGCCATAGGAAAGAAGGGAGCAGATGAGGAAGCAGAACCTTGGGGAGAGGGTGCACTGTGAGGCTTGCCTTAGCTTGGAATCGCCTCTGTGCACGGCAGAAAGGCTTTGGGTGGATGGCTGAAGTGGGGAAGTGGAAGGTCTGTGGATGTTGGATGTCACAACAGTTAATTAAGAGCGCTTGGGGGAGTTTTTAGGTAAGGGGGGAAGAGAGAAATCTCAGGGACTAAAGACAATACACATTTCCAGAGAGATGGAAGCAAACTTGCACTTGGACACGAGCTGCTGCAGCTGTGCTTTGAGGCTGGATCAGCAGACCCTGCTGCTGTGTGCCAGTGCTCATCACATGCAGGAGGACACTGGAGATGTGTGTGAGAAACTGGAAAAGGATTTGCTAGCACTCAACAACTGCTTTTTTTCTGACAGATTTTGGTGGTTCATGGAGAGTCTCCTAGGTGAGACTCTGCCTTGACTTTCAGTGCTGTCAGTAGTAGCCACGTGGAAATCTAACCAACAGTGGATTAGGGATATGATTTTTTTCCCACCCCCCTCTTCCTGAGACCTGTCATAAATTCTGCAGTGGCTCCTTCCTACCAGTGTGGCCTAATGAGAATATGAATATCAGAATGCAAAAATCAATGCAAAATGACAACCATCTTTGTAGCTGTAACCACAAATTGTTATAATGCAAATCTAACTCGGATTCTTCATGTAGGGAACAGTCTGCTAATAAAGGTCTGATAAAGAGATATCACGTCTCCAGTTCTTTTTCTGTGGTTTATTTGTGCTCTTTAGGGCCAGACTCTTCCTGGGCTTATTTTCACCAAGGACATTGACACTGGGAAGAATTCTCATTATGAGGACCTGGGAGAACAGACTTGTTAAAAACAAAGCCAGCAAAATCAAGGCTGATGATAGTGGTGATGAGTCAGGGATGTTCAGACACTGTTTACCTGTCTCTGAGTGTTGCTGGACTTTGCTCATCTCTGCAGTATCCACAACACTCTGTTCAGAGAAGTGAATTTCCCAGAAAAGCTGAAAACTCTGCTGTCCAATTATCCCCTTGAAAGAACCTGGCTTACACAGTTTTCAAAATAAAGGCTTTGTACAAGTTTTTTTCATGAATAACAACCCAGCCAGGAGCTACCCTGGAAGGTCATTCAGGAGCCATAGCTGGAAGTGCAAGTGGCCTCTGATTTGGTTAACAAAACTTGCTGTGAGGGCCAGACTGCCTTTTTTTGTTCCTTATGTCTCCTACTGTAATTCAAGGCTTTTATTCAGCTATAAATCTACTCATAAAGCCTGGAGTTTTGTAATCTGAGCCACAGCTCTCCAGTGGTGTCAGCTGAGATGGGCCCTTGACCAACACTGGAGGCTGCTGCCAGCATACCCTCAGGAGATGCTGCCCTCTGGAGAGGTTGGGGAGTGAAGTTTCACATCACAAGCTGATGAAGAGGTGGGTGAAACAAGGGCTGGCTGGGCACCTGTGCCTTGAGACCTGGAGGGAATGGGCTGAACTTACTTTTTATCCTGCAGAAAAGCAAGCTCAGGGGGAAATTTCTCACTTTCCACAATTCCCTGACGCAGGAGAGTGCAGTCAGGCTCCCAGGGAACAGGGACAGGAGGAGAGGGAATGGCCTCAAGCTGGGCCAGGGCAGGTTCAGATTGGATATCAGGAGGAATTTCTGCACTAAAAGATCTGTCAAGCATTGGAAGGGGCTGCCCAGGGAGGTGGTGGAAAGTCCAGGGAATGACTGGATGGGGCACTCAGTGCTCTGGTCTGGTTGACAAGGTGGGGATTGGTCACAGGTTGGACTTGATCTTGGAGATCTTTTCCAACCTTAATGATTCTGTGATCTTGTAAAATTCATTTTTGCTAAAGCTGTCACTCCAAAGGCTTAACACTGAAATTTTGCCTGATAAAGGCAGCTGGACAAAAACAGAGCACTCTGGAATCCAGAGGGAGTCACAGAACTCGCTGCTACCTTCCCTCTGGCTTTTCTCATTTTCTTCCCCTTTTAAGGAAGAGAGATATTTTCAGTGCTTAATTACTACATTAGAGCTGAGACTGAATTACTCTCCAGACATGCAGCAGCAGCAGTCTCTTGTTGCACTTGCCCACTTTTACAATGGCAGTGATGATGTTGTCCCCCCTTTGGGGCTGGGATAAGAGGTGGACGAGGTGCCTGATGAGTGCAGGGGTGCACTGGAGGCATGGAGAACAACGTCATCCTTGGCACTTCTCATCTCCATTTCTCATTGCTGAGAAATGAGGAAACATGATGTTTTCTCTAGGAAACTAAAAATCCAGGCTGGGTTAGGTTAGCACCCCTTCCCTGTGGTAGGAGGATAATTTGTCAGTGTCAGACATGGTGTGCAAGGCAAGGTGTGGATGGACATTATCAGGGAGCACTTGCCTGGTCCAGAGGCTTTGGGCAGGAGCATTTGTCCCTCCTGGGCTACCTGGGGGTAGCTGCTGTCAAGAGAATTGGGTGGTTCCTTTCAGCTAAGCCCCCTTTTCCTCAGGCTGTACAGTTACAGCTAAGTTTGCAGCCTTCTCTATATCCTAGTTACTCCTCAAATGCTTGGTTTGCTTGTTTAAAGTAGTTAATGATTGCCCTCTCCTGGCTGGCCTCTCTTACTGCTGCATTGCAGCGCTGCTTCTTGGCAGAGCTCTTTCCCAAGCTCAGTGGGAAGCTCCAGGCTGACTCTCCCAGCTCCTGGCTGGATGACACTCAAGGTGAATCAGGATTTCATTCTCTTTTTGCAAACCCCTCTCCTGATCCCTTCAGAGCCCTCTGCTCTCACACAATCTGGCACCAAACTGCATCTGAATTGAAGAAAAGCGTTTATTGCCCTGTGTGGGGTCAGTTCCCTGCGCTCCCAGGCCAGGGAGCACCTGGGGCAGGTGATGCTGTCACTGCAGCCACGGGCTCTGCCTGTGGGCTGCTGCCTTCAGCTTTCACTTGACACACCTCCTGTCAAAACAACAAAAGCAGGGTAAGTGAATCTACCAAGGCACCAGAAAGAGAGAATTTACTCAAGAAAGAGGGATTTTCCTTTCCCCTTTAGCTGATTATATCTAAGAGGAGCTGGCCCAGGCACAGACAGTGCTTGCCCAGGTGCTCAGCTCCTGCTGCTGCCATTTTCCAGGCCTGTGCTGGAAAGAGGAAACCAAGTTTCTGAGGCAAAGTTGGGCTCTGTGTGCTCTGAAGGAAAGGAGGAACTTAGACTTAGTGGGAAATAAGTAAAAAGTTTGTGCTGCTCAGGTACTCAGCATAGGTGAAGTTCTGTTAATGCCTGCAGCTGACACAGGGCTTTGTGAGCCTGCTCCAGTGCTCTGTTCACATCCACCTCCTTCAGCCTGGTGACAAAGATCCCCAAAATGTTTTCTGCATTTGTTTAATTGATTTTTTTACTCCTCAGGTGCAGTGGCTAAGTTTGGCCAGTAACTACCATCTCCAGTTGCACCAGAGCTTGTAAGCACAGACAGTCCTGACTAATTCCTCTCATCTTGCCCAAATTTAGATGTGATCCAGGGACTGCAACCCCCCCAGTCCACAGCTGTGTGCAGTTCATGTAGAGAAGCTGGGCTCTGCCTCCCAGGTGCTGCTCATTTGCTAAATGGGAGAGGAGATCTGCCCCAGCCCCAAGTGCAGCCCCATTCCAAGGGTTTCACTCTCTTCCTCTGTACTCCATTCCTCTGAACCTGTGGGGCAGTTTTTAAAGCAGCCTCTTGAGGCTGGATAATTGTTGGGGATAATGTTGGAGCCACCCTGGTGGCTTGGAGCCTGCTGATGTGGATGAGCAGATGACCAGGACAGAGCAGCAAAGGTAAGATGTCTTTCACCTTCACATTGCAAACAGGAGCCCCTGTCAAGCTGACTCAGGGTCTGGGTCATTTACAGGATAAAATGTCTTAAATTGAGTGGCAGAAGTGAGGACTGGACCTGGTTAATTTTTGGGTGGAAAATATGAAGGAAAAAATCCCTGGGGCCTCCTGCCCTTTCTGCAACTCCTGGGGGCAGCTGGTCCTTGCTGGGGGGGCAAAATCAGAGGTTTCAAGGCAAAATCAGTAATTTCAGGGCAAAAATCACTTGTCTATTTCCCCCCTGGCAGGGGTAGGCAGGCTGTTACCAAGGGTTCCCTGTGGATTTGCTTTAGGGGTGCTATTTTAAACCTCTGCTGAAGCAAGCTCGTGGTTATTTAACCCTCTAAATCATTTCCAACACCTTGAAAACATGTCTCCAAGACCCCAGTTTGGCAGCTGGAGGTGCAGCCTGGGGTCTTGCAGCCCTGCCTGGAGGGGGCTGTGGTGGTTTTGGTGACACAGAGTGCCCAGTACCGTTTTCCAAGGCGCGTACACGATCTGCTCTGCCCTCAGCCCCAGGCACTCCACGTGGTGCTCAAATTCCTCCTGGTCTGCTGTGCTTATGCTCAGATTCCGGGCTGGAGAAGGAGAAGGACTTGTCAGGTGTTAAGATACGGACTGGTGGCCTCAGCACACCCTTTGTGTCACATCCCTGTCCTTGCTGCCCCCTTCCCCAGCAGTGCTTGTTGTGGATGTGGTCTGTGTGGGGGTCTCTCACCCCCAGAGCAAACATCTGAGCAAAACCAACCTTGGGCACCTCTTGTTTAACCCTCTCCCTCTGGTCCTGTATGCTTAAAGGGGTTGCAGGATGGTTTGATATTCTTGGGGGTGTCAGGAGGGACCTGTAGGGAGGCAGTTTTATATATGTGTCTTCAAAATCTCTTAAGCAACTGCTTTGCAGCCTGGCAAGATAATGGGGAGCATTACCAGGGTCAAAACTGCTGCTTTATGGGTTTGTGGTTAAATCTGATCAGCTTTAGCACTGCAAAGCCACGTGCTCTGCCCTGGGAGATAAGTACTGAAACATCATGGTTGGCTTGAAAATCTTGAGATTTTACAATGATACCGATACTGAATTGTATTTGCTTCCTGTTCTTTGAATATTTATGGTGTAAGCTGGTTTGGTCTTTAACTTGGTTTTCTTTCCTGTTCTGCTAAGAGGTTGTGGGGTTTAATGGGGTTTGCAAATCCCGTGACCCCTGCAGTGTTGCTCTCAGGAAAATCACTGACTGTTGGTGAAACCAAGTTGCTGTATGGTTTTAGTTGATTATTTTGTGTGTGTGTTCAGGTGTGCTGTGATAGCTTTAAATTACTTTAGGATGGAGTTTCATACCATAGAGATACTGCCCCAAATACGTCCTGTCCTTCTGCATTTGGTACTGGATGAGTAAAAGGTTTTCAGAGCTCATGTTCATCAGCATCCCCTCAGTTTGCTGGGTCTTGGCTTGAAGAGAACAGATACAATAACTCAGATTTTCAGTGCTGCAGCAGCAATAAACTCCAGTCCAGGTGTGGGCAATGTCAGTACTCCCTGGGATTCAACCCTCAGTAGCAGGTGAAGACAAATGTCCTGAAATAGGGTGATTTTTTTGGCTCTTCATTTATACAAATTGTATTTATTAAAAATGGGGCTGGGGTGTGAAAGAGCCTGAGTCCCCCAGCTGGTGTCCTGCTGTTGGGATGTGCTGAATGATGTGGAGTGTTGGGACTCAGGGTTTGAAGGGTCAGAGCAAGCTGTGTGCCAGGGGATTGCAATTCCCACCCCAGCCTGGCTCACCCCACTTCCTCAGCAAGGAGGAATCAGCTCAGAACGAGAGCCTTCATTAATTCACTGAAACCTGCCATGAGTGTTCCCTCCTTCCCTCAAGGGACTGTGAAATAACTTCACCAGCAGGATGGTGCTCTCCTGCAGGGATGGGGGCAGGTTTGCTCCTGGCACAGCATTACTCTGGGTTTAGTGGGGCTGTGATCCCTGGGAGCAGGAATAACCTGGGTGCCCCTGGGTTTGGGGAGCTGTTTGGAGCTCACTGAGGCTTCAAACAGGCAAAGAGACTCGGGAATAAAACACGTCAGATAATGTAAAACAGGGACATGGGCCCTTTGTGTGTGTCAATCCATGTGAAACCGTGGGCAGGGTGATAACCCCAGCCGTGCTGCTCACCGTCCTTCACCAGCGTGGCGTTACCGACACTGACTTCCAGGTAGGTGAGGTTGTTGGTAAAACATTGGTCCCCCCTGGAGAGAGAGAGGGGAAGGGGCCGATGCCATGGTCTGGAAAGGACCAGCAAAGCCCCAGCCCTGGTCCTGACCCCACCCCGGGCACCTGCCACCTCCTGCCCAGGGTTAATTCCTGTTGCTGTTAAAATCAAGGCGTTTCTCCCGTGCGTTTTCCTGACCTCCAGCAGCAGCTTGTGGTCTCAGCCTTGCCATTGCTTGCCCACCCCTTGGTGGTCAGATGTTTTCCACCCTGAAATAACTGAAACCTCAAAGTGCTGCCTGCGTTGGCACGGAAAAAAGTCATCCCCTGAAATTCTGAGCCTGTGGGGGAAACAGCTTTGGGTGCCTGGCAGGGTCAGCAGCTGTGGCACAGGGACTTCTGGAGAGGTCTTCTCCTCCTTGCCTGCAGGGCTTGGTGCCCGTGAGGCCTCTGTGCCCTGCAAAACTTGTCTGAACCCGTGGTCTGCCAAATAAATAAGTAAATAAAGGAGATGAGGGAGAGAAGAGAGGGCAGAGGGTGCACAGAGTGGGCAGGAGAGACTCCCTTTGCAAAAAACAATCTGGAATCGTGCTCGCGCCTTGTGCTAAAGGATTTTCGGGCTGTAGCAGGGAGGGGATGGGTTGAGGGCACAGGGACCGCATCTTACACGGCCACGTAGTGGCTGATGAGCAGCTGCTGCCCGCTGGCACCGGGCTCCAAGCGCAGGAAGGCGTGATCGATGAGCAGCATCTCCACTTGGTGCTGGGGGAACTGGGCAGCCCCTGCCAGGTACAGCCACGTCCCCAGCAGCTGTGGGGAGGGAGGGACAGCGTGGTGACAGCAGAAACTCTGAGATTTCCACCCTCCCCGGGGCAAAACTGATAGTGCTGCTAGTTCTCCCTCTGGCGACAAGGTGAAATATATCCAAATGAACCGGGGGAAAAAAGAAATACAGCTGAGCGTGGGGGTTGTGAAGGATGGAGGTGCTGCGGCAGGGTCAGGACAGCCCCGGGGGATTTATACCAAAACCAGCCAGCCCACCCGCCTTGTTCCAAGGTCGCTGCTGGGAGCCTGAGAAAAGCGGCTCCTTCGGGGTGTCCGGAGACCAAAGCGCTCCCGTTTGCTGCGGGTGTTTCCCCGACAGCACCGCGACCGATGTGCTGGGGGAGCAGTGGGAACAAGGCGAGGTTTTCCCCTTTCCCAAGGGACGGGAGGCTCAGCAGAGCAGCCCCGGGGCTCGCAGTCTGTCCTACCTTGGATGCCGTGGAGCTGTCGGGGCGCTGGGCTCCGCAGGGCGCAGCATCCGCGGCCAGCAGGGCGAGGCTCAG